CCCAGAGAAGCTGTGGCTGCCCCTGGATCCCTGGAAGTGTCCAAGGCCAGGTTGGACGGGGCTTGGAGCAACCTGGGCTGGTGGAAGGTGTTGGAACAAGATGACCTTTAAGTTCCCTCCCAACCCAAATGATTCCATGATAAATTATGAATCCACGTGGCTTTGCTGCATTTTTATTTCTTCTGGGATCTGGTTTCTCTTCAGTTGAGGGTCACCAGGCTCCTCAACATGAATGTGAGTCAATGGCACCACAGAATAATAATGAGTAAGAAAGAGAGGAAGAATTATTTATTAAATCTATTTTTAGAAAATTAACTCCCCTTGCCAACCCTCTCCCAAAGCTCTTAAACCCTACAGAGCATCAATGACATGAAAATTCCATAAATTTTTCAATAGCTGTAAGAATTTCCCATGAAATACTTACCCTTTATGATCCTTTTCCATAGATCTGTGCACTTGGTTATCAATAGAAGAAAATGAAATACTAAATAGATCTTTATCTGTTCCAGCAGAAGTGGGACCCTTTCTTAATTAATAATGAAGAATTGATTATGTGGGGAATGATTATGATTTTTATCACTCAAATAAAAAAATGCTGAGGGGGATTGCAGACAGCAGGAGGTCATCAAGGACAAGAGGCACATTTTTAGGCATATATAATATAGGAATATTCCTGCTGTATTCCAGCATTGTATTTTTATGAATAATTTCTAGATAACTTGAGCAGGCAGTTGCATCAGGGAAACATTGATCTGAAATAATTTGCTTTTTCTGATGAGTTGTGTGTGGTGCCTGTGAGGAAAAACCTTGTCCAAACTGGATTTATCAGGGTTTGACTTTGAGCTGCTGTTTAAAAAACTCATTCTATCCAATTCTAGTCATTTAGGGCTCTTCATTGGCTCTACCTTAGAAAAAAAGACTTAAATAATAAATTACTTTTTGTTTCTAGTGCTGCTTCAAAGAAGGAGGATGATGATGCCCAACCAGTTAAAAAAACCTACACCTGGAACACAAAGGAAGAAGCAAAACAAGCATTTAAAGAGCTGTTAAAAGAAAAGGTATTTGGGCCAATTCTTCATGTTTTCTTCAGCTACAAAACCTGCACTGGCCAGGTTTTATTTTGATTTTTTTTTTTTTAAGCTAAGGGTTGTTTTTTAAGGAATTTCACAGTGGAATGTTGATTCCAAAGCGAATTATTCCATGATTTCTTGTCTTCCCAGCGAGTCCCATCCAATGCTTCTTGGGAGCAAGCCATGAAGATGATCATCAATGATCCCAGATACAGGTACTGCTCCATCCTTCCCTCCTCAGATCCCCCCCAAAATTAGGAATATTGGTGCCTTTGGGAACGTGGGTCTTTGGCAGGGAACTTTGGTCCTTCCCTGCATAAAGAAGAGCAAGCCCTGGGCTGAATTTTTCCTTTGGAAAAGATGTGGTAGTTGGTATTTTCTGCTGTTTCCATCAATTTGTTTGGAATAAAAATACACATTGGTAATGATGGAATGAGTGGCTGCTACAAACATTGGCAGAAAAGTGGTTGATAGCTATGATTAAAATATTATTTAAATGTGTAAATGCAGCAAAATAGTAACTTGGGTT